CAAATAACTGGATACATACATTGGCATACATACATTGGCATGTTTATACAGAAATGTTTAAGGACGCAGTCTGAGCTATGATCACTGCAGAAGTATTGCCTCATTTGAAAGAGTTAGGTGTGACAAAAAAATTGTCACCTAGGAACATATTCTTTAGCCGAAACTATGACTTGTTACTGTTATCTAGATAGGCGTTCAAATGGGACTTTTGGTTGTTTATGTTTTTTAACAAGCCGTTAGAACCTCGTTATCACACAAGTTTTTCAAATAAAATTTATAAAGGGCATGATCTTGTCGGCATTGATGCGAGATGAAATTTATTTATTTATTTTGTTTTTGGCTGACCAACTCTACAAGCTGAACTGCAACGAACTGGCTTGCCACGCAGTATGTCAGATTTTGTGCTGCCAAATAATGTGGCATGGCTGAAAATGGTCACAGTGCCAAACAAACGACGCGACGCGACGCGCTGCATGTGTAACGGTAAATGGCAAGTGGCCAGACGCAACGTGCCCAAAGGCACCTTCTCGAACATCAAGCCGCTGGGAGAGTGCAATTTGAAAACCGTTTTATTTTTGTTACCTAATTAAAGTGAGCCAGCGAGCCGGAGAGCGTCGGCGCGTATTAAGTTGTCTGTTGTCTGTGTTTTGGGCACAAGTTTTGGCCAAGATCCAAGACCGAACTATGCCAGTTATGCGCTCGCTCGCTGCATTGCCGCAGCACAATAGGTGCTGCTTGTAATATACTCAACTTGCATGATAAAAATCCAATCAGATTATTATTCAATAAAAGCGGCACAAAGATGGCGTGCACTTGATGACAAATGCTCCTCGGACTCGTGTCGGAGTTGGAGCTCCAGCTCGAACTCAAACTGGAATCGAAGCGAATGCTATATAGTATGCAGACCAGCCAAATGGAACAAAAGAAGACTGAGGCAGTCCGCCCTTAAAACAAGCCGCCCTGCCACGCTGCGAGTATTTCGATTTTCCTCTGATGTTGTCTTATATTTTTCGTCTTTTTATGTTTTGTTTTTTTGCTCTGTTATCTTTGGCTTTTAATCTGCAAATGCCGCGCTGGCAACAACTACATACATATGTATGTATGAATATGCACTCGGAAATAAAATCAAGCACAATCGGTGTCAATAAGTTTTAAATACATGAGTACAAAATACTGCATTTTAAATTGATAATTTTCATTGTAAAAAGTAGCATTAAATTTTTTGGTATCTTCAACAAGGTTTATTCCGAATTTTAGTATTTATTTTATGTTTATATTTTATTAAATCCATATGCTTGCAAAAGCTTTTCACAACAATTTTTTTTAATATAAGTACTCCAGTAAAACACAGATCAGATTTTTCAACCGCATCATTTTTTCCCCACATACACACAAAATTCAAATTTTCAATTCTTTAATTCGCGTTTGACTTAAGCAACTTTTCTATCCGCTCAGCAATATATCTTATAAAGAGTACAAAATTACACAATTAAATTAATTTTTATCTTCTACATACATTTAATTATGCTTTTATTAAAGATTTATTCACCCTTTATTTATGTAAGCTCCCAAAACCTAAAATGAAATTTAATCAAATTTAATCTTCCTATTTTTCGCCGAGTGTACATGCAAGCTAAAGTTCCAGCTAACTCACAGCGGGCATGTAAAGCTGTTCGATTCGAGGCTGGGGCCCCGCAAAAAGGCATAGGCATTGTTTGCAAAAACTTTGAGGCGACCTTAAGAGTTCAGAGGCGCATGTTAAGGATGCGCATGCGCAACGCAGTGGAACAGCAATGGGGAGCGTGCGCTTCACTGGACTTTGGCGGCAGCGGCGGCGATTCGATTTTATTAGCTTAGCAAAAGGCTCTTACAGTCAGTCGGTTGTCTAGACGGGCAATTTTTCACACACACACAAACACACAGAGTTGAGCACGTGAGTTTGAAAGAGAGAGGGGAAACGAAGACATACAGACAAACATACATACGCATCTGCTGAGTCTTGCTCTAAAATTGGCATTTTTCGCACACATAAGGCAAAAATCTAAAGCGAAGCGCACAGCTCAGATCCAGCCTCGAAGCTGGCAAGCGGTTTATTTGCCTTGTGTGGCATCAACTTCATCATCATTGTAGCCGTCGTTCGTCGTCCACATTGTGCTCGTTCTTTGTCGTGGTCATCATCATCCCCATGCACTGCTTATTCCTCAATACTGTTTGGCCCGACTGGTATGCCCGATGGCATAATGTGGCGGCCAGACTCGCCACAACGTTTTGCGCGCAATTTCTTTATTATTTCGTTTGTCCTTTTAGGCAGCAGAGAGTTAAGAGCGCTAAGCGAGTGGTACATAAGTTGTTTCTGTTATTGTTGTTGCTTTTGTTGCTGTCGCTTGTCAAACCGCTGATCATTATTGTTCCAAGTTTATGTTGTGCTGCACTGCATTAGAGGCGCACACGTTGCACAACCTCCCTCCACAGTGCACCGCCCCCTCACAATGCACACTGCTGCCAGGCCTCATAAAAAAGGTACCGAAAACCACAGAGAGAAGAAAATAAATGCAGTTGCCTCTTTCTCAAACGGCACATTTGGGCTTTCCAAAAAATTCAACATTATTTTGTTAGAGCATTTTGTCCAATAATCAGTGAAGAAAGAAATATCAAGTTTTATCTGATCCAAATTTAATAAAAATATAATTAAATGTTGAAGTTAAGTTTTTGAACCATTCTTTTAATTCTAATTTATGGCTACCTCAGTTTAATATATTTAGTCATATAGTCCGAGGATCATTTATTAATTTTGATGGAAACTTCATCTTATAAATTAGTAACATATTGTTATTATTTATATTATTGCATTATAGCATAATATTTATACAATGTCTGCTCATCTCTGCGCCCAAGGTGCAATGATTTGTCAATGTATTTTGTCTCAATGTGTCTGCCAGAGCATTGGCGTTTTTGTTGTCGCTGCTCTATGTCGTATTTTATTTAAATGACGTAGTTGACTCGAAGATTTATAACTATTTAAAGCTGCATAAATTTATGGAAGAGGTTCTATTCTTTATATGGCAAGTTCGTTGCCTAAGTCTTTCGTTCTGGCCATTAATAAAATTATGCGCTCTGTGACTGTATGAAAGCTGCAATCTGGGTGCCTGTCCGCCTCGTGTCTGTGGCAACAACAAGGTCGGCGTCGCGTGCATTTCTCATGCAGCAATTAAACAAATTAATCATAGTTCGATGATTTGTCAGTTTCCTTTTGCCTTGGACTGAGCACTCACGGCATTATGTTCGCTCAACTGTGCAGTTTTTGTGAGCTTGAGCGCATCTTCCAGCAGCTAAAATGACATCATATTCAATTTGTGTTGAGCTCTTTGGAAGTCTTCTATATACTTGTAGTACGTCAACACAACACAACACAAACTTTCTAGTCAAAACTTTTACTTTTCTTAATGCGGGCCAACTCCGACTGCCACAGCTCGAAAATTTCATTTGCACTCTGTATAATTTTCTTGCCACTAAAGCTTTAAAACGCCCTGTTGGCAGCTTGTAATTTGGCTTTCAACTTGACTGTTGCTTGTTGTTGCTTTCAGCTGTTTGTGTCTGTTCTTAAGCAAAAGTGTTTGTATAGTCGGCCCGATACTTGAGACAGTCTGTTGCGACTAAGCGCGGCTGACAGCGCTGCTTAGTCAACAGAACCGCACTCTGATATAAATTATAGCTGTCGCTACTCCCTGGTCAGCAAATATACGTACAAGCAAACATATATATAATACATATGTATTTGTGACGCGCATTTCGATTTCAAACTACACACATATACCCGTACAAATGAATTTCATTCTGCATTCGCAGCTTATAATCAATTGACGGCACTCGCTGCCAACTGCCACTTCAATTTTTTCTTCATAGAGGTATATAGTATATAGGCATATATATTATATATTGGATTTCAACTTCTTGGCGCGTTCAACCAGTTCGCCTACATCGTCAGCTTATGGCTTTATTTTCAGGCAATTTTGCACTTGAAAATCTTGTTTATTATAAAACAGCTCCTCTCTCTTTATTTTTTGTTACGTGCTTGCGAGTGTGTTTGTGTGTATAAAAGCCAATGTCAAGCAGTTAATACTATGTTGTACTTCTTTCTTTTTTTGTTACTTAAATCATTATTCTTATTGCTTTATATGTTACTTAGTGCCTGTTGCCTGACCACTTGATTGCCTTTTAATAAGCGCCAATACATATGGGTAGAAATTTTTCATTTTTCTGCCCTGATGTTATCTTAGCCCATCATGTATTTGTTGGTGTTTTTGTTTGTTCCTCTGACGTGTCATGTGGCCCCTTCCTGTTGCCTGTGTAGGTGTCTTGTCTTGGTTGTCGTGGCGTGTCTTTTGTATATTGTCTTTTGTTTTTTGCCGCTTTTGTTGTTTTGGCTCTAGAAGGCAACTTGTGTTCACGTTAATGACTAATATACGGGTTTTCAACTGAACTTTATTTCAGCTGCATTTATGGTTATGCTGCTAATATGGGCAGCAACTCTCTTAAATGATACGACATTAAGGTCTTTCTGAATCATGCTACACTCACACTACACACACTTCCAATTCATTTTGAGATAGCCCTTAAAAAAGTTCGTTGCCCAAGTCTTCTGTTTCTATATATTCTAAAACAAAGAAACAAATTGGCATGCTACGGACAATTGCACACCGTTTACTACTCTCACATAAACAGCACACGCCTGCCCGCACATCTAAAAGACCCATTCGAGTTGGTCATAATGTTAAAAAGCGACAAAACGTACCTCAACCGAAAACGAGGTCAGTTTTTGCGGCGAATTGTTTTTTATACGTACTCGTATTTTTTAAACCTTTTCGCATTTCATTGCGCACAAATGACATCATGAAACATTTGTATCTCTGTACCTGTATCTTTAGAGACCCAAAGCTTCGTTGCAGTTGTGTGTGTACCGAGCTTTTTTGCATTCAACAAATATATTTGATAGAGCTTACCTTTGGCAGCTGATGCTAATCCAAAATATAAATACGCCAGGCAAATGGCTCGCCATAGTTTCGCTCGAAACATTTTATCTACTGCTGTTGTATTCCTAATTAGTTAATAAAAACAAAAACAAACGGCATTATTAGCTGGCTGCGTTTGGCATTTCATAAAAATTTAACGGCACATGCGCAGCACATTTTTAATTATTTCCATTCCTTTATTTTTTATTTGCCCACCACCACCACCGCAAAACGTTTATGGTTTTCACACACTATGAAATATTATTATGAAATTAACATATACTAAGGAGGCAAATCAACACCGAAACGACTGCTTGCCCGCACACACCGAATTGAAAGCACAAGAACAAAGCCACACGATTTCGAATTGAGCCTTACTTATTTTTGTTGAACGAGCCGCGAAACACGTCCAAGCCGCACGCTCGTCGAAAGGCAACTAACTCAAGGTGATCGTCGTTAGCAGAGTGCGAGCAGCTGCTGCCTGCGCTTCAGTGTTGTCAATTTAGCCATTTTCCCGCCAGCTCAAAAGTAAGATTATTAAATTGGGTCTAGCGGAATCTATGACGTTGTTGGAAGCCCGGTTAACATTATTACAGAGCAAGAAAAAGATAAGTCAGATACTTAATGGCTAGAGAAACTGCTAATTCAGACATCGATTTCATTGTTGTAGAATCTGCAGCCCTCTTCTATTAAAGATTTCTTTCATTTTTTATTAAAAATCAAATTTACAATAATATTAAATAATTAAATTTAATCTGTAAAATTAGATACTATTTCATTTCAATCTATGATCAACTGAGGTTTTACTGAAATACTTTGAAAATAATTTGTAAGCCAAGAAATGTTGTTGGGCCCACGCAGATATTTCCTCAAGAAGATAAAATCACAATATTATGTACCATCCATTTGAAAAAGTCTTTAAAAGATTGTTGTCTGAAGACTCTTTTTGTCTATAAAGATGTTGATTCCAATTTTTTTTATACTACATCAAATTATTGGTCTAAGAATAACAGATTAGGAGTAGATATGTGCAGCCCCAAAAAGAAACGAAAACTTATTGGGAACAACTGCTCTTGCAATAAATGAACAGAAGAATAATTCGAGTTGAGTTGCTTTAAGGGCATGAATAGGATGATATAATCTCTCTGTTTAGTTTATTTCAATTGCTAATCTATATTCTTTAGCACTCAAGAACGGACAACACTGCTGTTGTCTGCGTTTATGTGTGTATGCTTGTAAGGAGCACTTTGAGCAGAAACACAGGTGCAGTCGGAGCGCGGTTAAAGTTATGAGAGCAAAAAGCTTGAGTCGCTTTGCAATTTTGAGAAGCGTTAATGACTTGACAGAAGCTTGAGCCGCATCACTTCTATTATAATTAATTTCAGTCATCACGATGCTTGAGTGATAAAAATCTTATAGCTATTAAAATGAGAGAAAATTGTGGGAGCATAAGCATGAGCTGCACATATTTGTAAATCATTATATAACCTACCTTCTTCTATCTTTGTGGTGGCATGAACTGTTTGGAGTTGTCAAAACAAACATTTAATTATTGTCTCCCCTATCAGTGTTTTCTGAAAATCTAAATGTGGATATAATGACATGCAGGGCGTTGTTGATTATAAATAAAAAATTTTCGGAGGCAATGCGCAAATTGCTGCAGTTCGAATAGAATTTTGTGAACTCATATTACGGTAAACACTTCCGCTTTTTGACCACCGCAAGCATTAATTGCAGTTTGGTGGTCTCGGCACATTAGGCCACAATTACAACACCGCATTTAATGTGCCCAAAAGGCACTACCAAAGAGGCAGAACCGTTCCTCTTGTGGCCATTTGGACTCGCAGCCCGTGCCTACAAACCAACAGACCAACAAGCAGTCCATTAGGCCATGTTATATGCGCTCAATTTCACACTTGTTGGTTGCGCGTGCTTGGACGTCGGTAAGCTCAGTGTGTACATTATGTGCTGACCAAGTACACTTCTTGTTAATTTTCCAAACCAATGACCGGTAGGTCCGCCTGTGCGCTTCTGGGTCTCTCATTTGCTAAGCAGCCTGCTGAAGGCGGTGGGCCAGCCTCGGGGTTTCAGCAACGGTAAATGGCGTGCAAATAAATGCAGTCAACGATGCGCGTTAATTAAATTTGCCTTTTTTATTTTAATGTGCAACAATGTTTCCAAAACGTTTCTTTGTTACGATTAATCTAAAAATGTACAAATCAATAAATTTAGTGCATTTTTTAAATGTCATATACTCTTGTGACAAATTTAGAAGACTAAATAAAATACTAATTTATTAAGTTAGGAATCCTTAAAGAGGCCTTACTGATTAAACAGTTGTTGCAATAATAGCTGCTAAGCTAAGTGTAAAGTTTTCATTTCAATCACAAAAATATTATGTATTTAAGAAAACATCTAAACAAAAAACTCTTCCCAAAATAATACAACAAACATTTGTGCAAAGGCAGTTGGTAAGCCGTTGAATCTGCGCAATTTAAAAAAAAAAATGTAAGCAACACTGGTCATTTCGATTGTTATAAGGCAATGCAAACTGCACGAGCAGCAAGCTATGACGAAGTACCGAAGAGACGAGAAAGCAAACCTGCAAGAAATATACCAACAGTTTGAGACTTAAAGCAGCATATAGCTATCTCATCTACTCTCCCTTAAAATTCGAATGGTTGTGGCGCGAGATCATAGACGCTCTTTAATAACGGAACTTCAATTTCTGAGAAATTACGGAGCTAAATAATGCCCTTGAAATTCTTTCGATGTAGGCACACACATTTGAAGGCCGGGAAATGTGCAATATGTTTTTAGAAAAATATCATTTTGACACAGTTCACGACCTGAAAATGTTTATGCCGGCACTAGATTAATTAGGCACAATGTTGTATGTTGCTGGATTTTTCTAGGCCGCGGAGAGTGCAATACATATAAAAGAAATCTTGCATTGTGACACAAACTGCGGCCTAAAAATTACAGCTAGTATAAAAATGTTATCTTTTCCGTTGTGGGCAACCATATTTACAGGCCGTAGAGAGTGCAATATGTACAAAAGCCATATTCGCTTACACCAACTGCGGCCTGCAAATACGCTTTAGCAAATCGTCAATAAATAAATAAATTTTGAAAAACACAACCTTTGTCGTTATGAGCAATCAATTTTTGAGGCCATGGAGAGTGCAATATTTATTTTAACGAAAGGCAATTGCACTTTCCATGACTTCAAAACTTGAACTCTCGACTATTTCGTTGTCGATCACAAAGACGAGCACTAACCCGAAACTGATCAATTAGCTCTATGGACAACTTGAGTTGCGTGGAAAAGTTTCAGGCCGGGAAAAGTGCAATACACTTTAGAAAAACTATGTATTTGCAAAATTCACGGTCTGTAACTAATAAACGCCATTTTCTAAGCACTCCGATCCACACACTCCAACACAAAAATATAAACTAAGAGTCCACTGACCCGCTGATGGCGCCTTTCTTACACATATGTATGTATGTATTTAGGAAGGTAGCTAGGCAACAAAGAAATTCTGATACCAAAACGGGATGTCAAATGCGAGATCTCCACTTTACAACTCTGGCAGCACCGCCAAAAGCACAAAAGGGAGAAAAATAGCGACAAATTTCTTGGAAGACGCCAAATTCCAAGAAATTTAAATGTTAACGTTTTTTCTTAGTTGTTATAAAAACAATTGCAAACAAATACAAACAAACGGAAAATATATCCAAACTATTATCTTGCTAATTCACGTATAAATGTATGTATGCACATACATGATAACTGTAGTCCTGTTTCTTCAATTTTAAAAATGCCGCACTCACAAAGTTAGATTTTTTTCCTAATTCACAAGTTGAGCAAAACTAATTACAACCGACAAGTTAAGCTGTCGAAAATGAAATGCGACTGAGCGATCTATCGATGCTTCGATCTAGACTATAAGATGTCATTACCAGAGAATAGCAAATAAATAGCACTTATGCATACCTGCAAATTATTCGGTATTTTAATTTATTCCCTATATTTGTGATATTACTATTTAAATAAATACCATGCAAAAAATAAATAGTTATTTCAAAATATAAATTTGAAATATTTTTCTGTGGTGTACTTAATGATATTTTAAATTAAAAGTATATTATAAATAAGAACTAGTTCGAAAATTTAGACATTTGAAAAAATACCCTTAGAGGGTATACTAGAAAGTCTAATCGCAGGATTTGTCGAATTAATATAGACTTGCCCATAAGTAAAATAAGTAATAGAATTGAATAATCCATACGTAGAGCCAGTTTATTATAATAGTTTTGTAGCTACCGTCGGACCGACCGGTACAAAAATTACTATTATTAGGATACCATTTTGTTACATAAAATCACTATAACGTATACTAATATACGAATCAAAAAAATCAAAAATCAGTGCTAATTACTTGTCTGTTTATTTCAGTATCATGACAAAATTTATTATTTATCAATCTGTAATTTGAATTTTGTCGATGAGTTAGTTGAAACGGCTGTAGCGGTGGATAAAAGTGTTCAAGAGTATGGCTCGGATGATTTAAAAGTTCACATTTATTTGGTTTCAAATCAATAATGAAATCAAGTAGTAATCCAAGATACACTATTTTGAGAGATCTTCAAATAAGTTGTTTTATAGTTTCAATGTTCCTTTGCAAAAATATATTTCTGAATTATAACTGATGAGATAAAACACCTTTTTACATTTTTAACCCTTTTAGGTTAGTAATTTGTTGGTTTCTCTCAATGTTTCATCAAACAAATACAAATAACACAATATTTATAATTCGTTGAGCCTGTTTTGCAGTTCTATTAGCTTTGGCTTAACGTCTTTATAATGCTCCGACTTCTGCTGAATTAGTGCCTGTAGCTTGATGCGTTCATTTTGAATGTTCTGAATGCGCTCGCGGTTCTCTCGACTTTTCGCCAAGGCAATCTAAGACATTTAAAAAAAAAATACATTAGACACCATGCTTTTCTTTTTGTGAGGACAAAAGTAACCTCCAGAGCTTTTTGTTGCGATTCCAACTGCTTCTGAAGAAATTTTATGCTCGAATCGATGAGACGTATTCGTAATGGGCGCGTACGCTCGTCTGGCGTGAGCTCGTGTACATTCCTAAGATATGATGAATGAGTGTGTTTACTGGCATAATTGTCAATTGATATTATAGTACCAATTTGTGCCTCTGTATGGGGCGAATTTATCCTTGAGGACCTCTAACGTTATCAATTTGTTGGGCACATCGTTTTCCTCAAAGAAATGATCATTTAGCTTGTACAATAAATTTGTCATGCGTGATCGCATACATTCAGCTAAGTTCGTTGTATCCAGTAATATGTCTTCGTGCTTCAATAAAACGGCAGCAATAGGCTCTAAATCTAAAGAACTTAATAAAAAACTATATTTCGCGCTCATATAAACAAATAAAACAAGCACTCACCTTAAATCTTCAAAGACCTGGGCAATGGATTTATGATAAGCATCCTTCACCTTGGGTACAATTTCAGTGTGTTGCTTGAATACGTCTTCGAGATCTTGAATGCGTTCCATTTTTTTAGACTCAGACATAGCTTCTAACTATTTGTATCCAAATCAGTTTGATTGAAATTGCGGCAAAAAGTAGACGCCACAGACAGCTGATTTAGGTGTTGGAAAACTATACAAAAGTTTAGCAGCAATCAGCTTTGGTCGTGATGTCCCGCAGCTGTTGAAACAAGGTGTCTCAGGCTGTGTGGTAATCGATAAAAATAATCCGCCATTTGCAATTCATTTATATTTTCGCATCGTGTGTTTGTGCTCTGAAAGTACACTTTGTTTGTGTGATCATTTAAAAAAAATTATACTGAATTGTTGATTATTAAAAAATTTTGTGTATTGTCAAAATAAACACCTATTTTTGAACTCTTTGCATAACAAAAGAGAATTTCAATACAGAGGTTGAGCTAGGTAAGTTTATGGGACGCACCGAGAATTAAGAAAGAACATTTGAAAAGAATTTGTGACAAATAAATAGACTAGTATGCGTCGCACATACGATTTGCATAAGGAAAACAATTTTCTGCCATACTGTACGTGTGTTTGTGTTCGTGTGTTATTGTGCAAAAAAATGTCGCCGAAAATCCTATAAAAGTTTTATATTGGTTTTTCAGTCAGAGGCGCCCTGGCACGCCGTCTTTCTCTCGAGCTCTAGCATCACCAAGTTATTTGACCGGCACTGGGCTATTCAATTAGGTGTGCGTTCACAAGCTTCTCGCTGTTACTTAACCTCTTCCTCCGTCAACGTTTGCAACCACCACAATACATGGCTTACAAATTTCACGGAGGCTTCACTTTGTTTTTTTTTTGTGCGTTCCGTTTCCCGCTACTCTCTCGCTCTTGCTTGTTTACCGCATTACAAGCTTGTATGCCCTTTAAGTGTAAGGGTATATTTTTTTGGTGTGTACGTTTGCAACATCCAGAATACCTCGGGTATACTATACATATCACAATGTCTAACCGATGGCTGTTATAGAAACAACATTATTTAGAAAGAGTTTTAGTAAAAAAAAATATTAAAACCTATTTGTATGTAAGAATGTTGTGATACCGGATGACTATTTTATTTATATTTTGACTCTTTACAAATGCTGTCTGAGAACGCATATAGAAGGGCTTATATTTTGAGTCGTGTAGCCACAGAGGGATAAATGTTTTTCAACTGAAGGGTATATAGCTTCGTCGCATACGATGATATCTCCGTAGTTCGTTGTTGTTTGTATTTCTTTTAGCTTTTTCTGCTGGTATAGAGTTAAAAGTCGTGTCTCTTCTCATCATGTTTTGTTTTCCAAGCGTTATTATCAACTCTAGCAGTGCCAGCGACTTCATGTGCCGGCGCATATAATTTCAGCATACATACAAACATAGAGATATGTATATTTTGGAATTTGTGTTGTTTTTGTTAATGTTCGCAGATAAAATCAAAACAATTTTTTGTTTTCGTCTACCCGCCACTCCAAATAACTCCCACGCTAGACTGAACGAGAGGGTTCAACGCTCTCGCCGAATTTGGAATATACAACCAAATTTTTGCCCATTGCTTTTTATTCGCTAGACTAGACAACTAACCTATATTTTATACAGCGTGGAACCGTATCAATCGATTTCAATTGTGCACCTACAACAATATTTTAAACTTGGTGTATTTACAGTATCAATTAGCATCACCAGATCTAGTGAAGTACATATTTGTATTCGATTCTAAGTTTGGGCATAATACGCACCTTTGATAAATGCTTATGCACATATGTATGTACTATGTACGTGATCAAGTGATACATGGTTGAAATGGGTAACCTAATCTGGACCCATTTGTCTCATCCGCGTATGTAGATACGTTTATGTACTTTGAAACGAGTCCCACAGCTTCGATGCGCCTTTTCAATTATGCATGCCAACAATTTTAATCAGCCAGAACCAGAGAAGAATAACTTTTGCTTTTGTTCTTGCTAAATTCCAGTTTTGTGCTGGAATAAAATTCGCTTTTGTTTGCCTTACTGTTTGCTTGTCTTACTCGTTTTTAGCTTTTTATTTTTCAAGTCCCGCAGTGTCTGGCTACGCGTCTGTTTGGCCAACAAGCGCATAACGTGGCCAATTTGTATGGGGCGTCTTTGTTGTTATTTTGGTTTCGTTTTGTTTTTGCATTTTTCTACAGTGAGGCAATCGAATTGTGAGCATCGTCAGCCGCCAATGTTCTCCCAATGCCAGAGGCAATCGAAGCGCGCCAGATACTGATTTTTCTAACGATATGTATACAGTATTTCATTTTCTATCTGCTCTTTGTTGGCTTGATAAGTGTGTATGTATGTGTGTGAATGTGCATATTAGTCTTGCGCTTATAAAACGCGTTCATTGACATTGAACTGAATTCTTTGAATATGCACAAACATACATACATACTCGTATATGCGTATATATTTATTGAAATTTTTTTTTCACATCACATTTATCATTTGGTTGATCTTTCATACTTATTATACATACATATGTACATATACTATTCATACATTTTGAGCAATATGGAAAAGTATGTTGACGTATTACTTCTTGTCTTCTATTATTTTTGCAGTGTTTAAGTGAGATTTGTTATTGTCGTCGTTGTTATTTAAGTGCAAAATAAAAATGACGAGTAAGTATTGTTGTTGTTGTAGTTGTTTATTTGCAAACACTAAGCTTGTTTACAAATTTGTTTCCAAATTGGCGAATTTTCGTTGCCGGTACATACATATTTACACAAATTTCTATTGGGTGGGCCAGGGTATCGGCCTATACATATACTTTGCTTGTATATAAATATTTGATTATACACAGAATGACACACCTCCACCGCCACCAACCTACCTACGTACATATATATGTATGTATCTCCATAAGTATGTGACAGGCCTGCTCTCCAAATGCGCGCCTTTTTTCACTTTATTTTTTACACCGGTTTCATTGTGAGCATGTTATATCTTTTTATGTATTTGTATTTCCATACTTTGTATGTCAAATATTTGTGTTAAATGGGATGCTTCAAACGTATGTGTACACTACACTTTCAGGGCATGCTAATTTTATTGCTATTATGTGACATCTTACCAGGTTAACCAAAACGAACACTGATATAGTTTTCATAACATATATTTTCTTAAGGCCTCTTGAACAGCTTCGAGCACATTTTATATAAAACTTTATGGCCTATATTTCCCATCCAATACATTTTTTAGAGTATCAATTTAAAATGTGTGTAAGAGTGCAAAAATTATTAAATATTTGCAAAACGTCCTTTGTCATGTGAGCACCCATTTCTAATTCTGTTTTTTTATCAAAATCGTTTGTTATATAGCTGGCACAAAAAGAGCGCAGCAATGATATTCCAAAATAAAGGGCTTTTGAATACAACGAAGAATCTGAACGTAAATGTGAATAAACATGTGCTGTGTTTTATCTTTTGCCAATTAAAGCGCACATTCATTGAAAAGTTGGGCATTATTTAACATACGTTAGCATCGAAGAAAACTTTGATGCTCGAGCAACTTTATAATGTTTTCAATGTCTTAAACAATTCATCTCGATAAAGATTATTAAAACAGTATTTTGTCGAATTATGGCGAAGAAGCAATGTACTTGGCCGTTTTGAAGCTGTAGTACAATGAGTACAGGGCGAATCTCAAAGCTTGTTTTAGAGGCACTTCTTAATGGAGAAATTTCTTCGTTAATTGGCTCGAACGAATGCGAAAGTGTATTGATCTTCATGGAGCATATTTAGAAAAGCAATAACCCGTTTTTGATCTTAGTTTTGGTCTTATGTTATGCCGACGAACCGTTAGGTTTTGTAAAAAGCCAATACCGCCGGAAGTGCATTTTGTCTCGTACTTTATGGAAGTCATGCATCTGCGCATTTTGTGCATTTGCACTCCGTGTTGATACCCAGGTATTTGGCATGGGCTGTAGTTTATTATGATAAATAATAATAATAATATTTTGGTAGGCGCCAGATATGATGGTAATCTAATCTACCCGCATATTGATTTAATGTATTGATTTGAAATATGCAAGAACGTCGTAAAAGACATTTTTATTGGAACAACAGAATTTATTAGTAATATTTTGCTGAGTTAAAAAGTTTCTACAAGTCCTCCTTTTGTTATCCTGATTACTTTACCTTGTATATATATATACTGATTTGTATTCAAAATGTTAAGCCTGAACCAAATCTACCCCGCGAATATTTAGACGCCATTCCTTAAGTATTTGGTAAATATTCCATAATTGATTTCCTCAAAATTCGTAAATAAATATGTATTATTTTACAAACCTGAAATCACGCATCCCTCGATTCATGAATACCGAGTATTATAAAACTGAAATAAAATACTGCAAATATTAGCATAACAAAATATAAATAACCAGTTCTGTTTAAAGATCGTTCCTGTATCAGTTTTACGGTATTATTTTAAAAGTCATTCAATAATGAAAACTAATAAAAACCAATTTTGATTGGAAAAGTAAAAATTAAAAAGATCAGTCTACATTCTAATTTAAGTGTCCTTAGCTGTTATGGATTAATGGAGAGACGATTCATCTTATCATACTTATTGCCGTTTGCCAGCTTCATATATACATCCCGTATTGTTTAGCTACAAGCTATAAAAATTGCACCTCATTTCTATGTTTTAGCCAATCCTATTATTAATGCAAAACGCTTTTCAATAAATCATAACAAGTTTCGAATCACACAAAAGATACGCAAAATGCCCGAGGTTATTGTTTCAGTTGACTCAAAACAGATTTTAACGGGGTTTGACGCAAAAGCAAACTGAATTATTTAAATATTTATTATTCATATGATCAGTTGTGTTGTTGGCAATCATTTCTTGGTGTTAAATCAAACATAAAAAGTTGACATTTTATCGAAATCTCGCACTGATGATTTCTTCTGCTTCACGTCAATGCTGACAACAAGTTTGCATTTTAATTTTTATCTACGCTTGTACAGTACTTTTCCAAATGTGTTTCGACTTTGGGTGGGTCTCCAATGAAGTTCTTTTTTATGTGCCTACTTGATTCACCCTCTACCCTCACCACTCTAAAATTCAAAGCGCCTAATTAGTAGCAATAATAATTTATATTTGGATTAGATGGAAATGCAATTGTTGTACAAGTATATACTGATTGAGACACTTCTGATAGAGTCACTTGCTCATTATAGTGGAACTTTATGGTATGGTATGGTGGTTGACTTTAAGAATTGAAGTACATTACATGTGGAAGAACAAAAATATAAATTATGTAATATATGTACATACTTGTACCACACAAGTTGGAACTTTTCGAATCGAATGCTTTTAATAATTGAAGGACTTGAATTTTGTGGTTGCTGTCTCCCAACTTAACCAATCGAACGGTTGTTAGTCGTGTCTGTCAGC